CACAAGGCATGACCTATAAGCCTACTGACCGGCATATATTGTACTATTTATTTTAAATAAAATAAAATAGAATAAGTATGCCTTAAAAAAAAAAAAGATATAAATTTAATCAATTGCAATTATTTATAACTTAATTATATTCGATTATAGATTAATATAAATCTGACTTTATTTCTTATGTAGGAGGAACCAACATCTCAGCATGATAGATTGTGTATATGAATATGCTAAAATATTTTTGAGAGAGGTTATACTTACTACAAGCATCATGATGTGTTTGTTGGATTTATGTAGTTATTTTAATTTACATAGTATGGATTTGTTTGTTAGATTTCATGAAATATATGTTATTTAGTTTGAGCATTTTGCTTTTGAAAGTGACTTAAATACAGATTGTGATGAGTTTTGTTGTGGTTCATGATTCTGTTTGGACGTTGAAATTGTGATTTTTGGTTTTGCAACAGAATTTGAGTATTTTGTGAAGTTGATTCATGGTTCTGCTTGAAAGTTAAAAATTAACAGGCTAACGAGTTAGGCCAGACCATTTGTTTTTTTATAAAAGGGTCAAGCCAGGCTAACAGTTAGACTCGTACTAGGCTTGGGTCAGGCCAAATTAAAAATTTTTAACATAGATTTGGGCTTTTCTTGACAAAGTTTGGCCCAGCCCAACCCACTTTCATACCTACTGGTTAATGTATCTCATTTTTCTTGTTTAATTATTTTTGACCTTATATATGTAAAATCATGTGTTATTGTGTGTTGAAAACAGAATTTGTCTTTTAAAAAGATATTATGTTTTAAGTTATTATTAATTTCTCATTGAAAGTCACATTGGGGAAAAGGTTTATATATATAGTTTTACAAGGAAATGAAACATGTTTGATTTGATAACTTGTAACTGCTATGAGTTCTCTTGTGAGTTCATTATCCTTAATTATGATTAATGATAGAACTAATCTGTGGAAGATTTGTCGTGTTAGTTAATGCGAATTATAATTGATGTGCTTATTGAATATTAAGTGATGCAGTATCACGAGTTATAATGGGAGATTGTCAGAAAAATTAACTGGTCACGTGACTCAATGTACTTTGTAAACTTCTTGGGATGTACGAGATCTAATAAAATATAAAGTAAATACTCTTTTTAGTCCCTGACAATATCCACGAAGTCTTTTTCAGTCCATAGCAATAAAAAAGGGACAAATTGGTCCCTGAAATAACAAAAAAGAGGCCATGTTCATCCTTCTGTTAACAAAAAAGAGGCCACGTTCATCCATGTCTTCTGGTTTAACAAATTGGACTGCATACAAATCGAATTTAATGTCATGTTCCTGTTTTGCAAAATTGGATTGCATTCCTGTTTCTGATGTAATGCACTTCTATTTTGCAAAATTGAACTGCATAGAAAAGCAATGAAGTCGATCATGTGCCTATTTTTCTCTGGTTAGGGACCAATAAGGGCCCCGTGCTTTTTGTCAGGGACTAAAAACGTCCTCGTGCATTTTGACAGGGACCAAAATAGCCCTCGTGGTTTTGACAGGGACCAAAATATCGTCGTCTCGTCTTCCACGGTGTCCCGCATCCAAGCCGCGTCAGCAAACTAACATGCCAACTGTGCACCGTTAGTTGGGCCGTTAGGTGGGAGTTAGCAGAAGGATGAACGTGGCCTCTTTTTTGTTATTTCAGGGACCAATTTGTCCTTTTTTTATTGCTAGGGACTGAAAAGGGCTTCGTGGATATTGTCAGGGACTAAAAAGGGTATTTACTCTAAAATATAAGATTATTGTTAATATGATGGTTTCCCAATTGCCAGTTTGACGAAAGTTCAATATAAATAAGAAGAGATTCTTTATCTGCCAAGGAACGAATTTATAACAATTACCATCAAGAAAGAGTTTGTGAACGAAGGGAGGGAGAGAGAGAGAGAGACTTGGGTTTTTATATAGATCTTTACTCCGCAATCATATTTATAGAACGTTACTTAAAGTTGCTTTATTATTTATCCTATTGACTTGATTTTTCATTCAAAATTATAGTTAACAGTTTTAATTTTTTAATAAAATACCAAAACTAGCCTTTAAAAAAGGCGTTAGTTGATCTTCTTCATTTTGTCACAGTCTTTTGTTGGAAATCTGAAAGCCTTTTTCATAGAAGCTACCTCCATCAAAATGAAAGGCAAAAGTAAAACAGTTCTTATTTATGTTATTTAGAAGACAACGGGTGATATTAAATCGCTAAGAGGTTTGAACCCATGTAAAAAGCAGAAGAGATTAATGATCAGAATTATCAAACACACTGCAATAAGAAAATTAGAACAGACTTACAGGATGTCAGATAATGGAACAAAATGATCAATATATGCAGAATAGTGTAGAAAATCCGAACCCACAGAATGCGTCTTCTTAAGACAATTTGCTCCCTCACTGATGTCGAAGGTTAATAGACACTTGTCTCCCGGGATAGAACGGATTGCGTCAGAAGAATGGTGGCACCACCAATCAACTGCCCGAACGGAACATAACAATATGCCAGAAGAATTACACCAGAGAATGGAAGGAAATATGCAAACCGGATGAAGGAAAAAATCCAACGGAATAACAGTGCAGAAAATTATGGATACAAGCAACGGATAGGAACAAGGGTATTTTGGACAAAAAATTAAAAAATTAAAAAATTATTTTTAATTCACACACAAACCGGGCCGAGTCGGATGGGCGGCGGCGGCGCGTGTGTGTGATGGACCAAAGGCGACCTAGCTCATCTCCCCTCCATAAAAGTGTAGTGCCCTAAAGGGCAATTTAGGAGTATGAGGTGAGAGCTTATTAACTCTCTCACCTCCTACTAGTTGTCCAATATGGGACTTTTTAAAACCCACACACCCCTTCAACTTCCTTCTTTTCTTTTCTTCCTTAACCCACTTCTTATTCATAACCAATAGATTGTCTATACAAATTCCAACAATTTATAGCTAAGCTACCATAAAGTAAAAACAGAGTCCATAAAGAGCCAGAAAACTATAGAGTCTAAAGAGTAATGGGTACCCAACTCCATTATTAACTAAGCTTGATAGAAAGAAAGAAAAAGAAGATAAAAAAAGAGGAGCATGGAATAATCCTGTGAAGCTCAGATTCTACACAAGTCCATCCCAAAGTCCTCATTTTTATTTGAATGTAATTTTGAACCTTGATTTTTCAACTTTGTCCTAAATTACATGTCAATATATACAATATGTTTTAGAAATGAACCTTTTTTATTTTCATTGTTGCAATGGATCAGCAATTTTTATCAATGTTGTGAAAGAGAATTATATGTTGTTGACTGTTGTGCATTCAAAAGGAACATGTGTTATTGAAGGGACACTAAACCAAAAGTGGCTTCTCTCTCTCTCTCAAAATTGTAATGAATCTTTATCTGAAAATCAAGTTGGATGAACTGAGCAAATCTCAAATGGTTTCATTCACGTGGTGGGAGCAAGTCTGAAAATCAAAAAGATCAACTAACACTTTTTTTAAAAGGTTAGTTTTGGTATTTTATAAAAAAAATTAACACTGTTAACACTAACTTTGGATGGAAAATCAAGTCACGGGGGTAAATGATAAAGCAACTTTAAGTAAGGGGGTAAATGTGTTATGATCATAGACATCAAAGTTATGAATGTTGAGTTGCATCTCAATATCTTGAAAGGAGGACTGATCTTCAGATCAAACTCCTTAATTTTGTCCCTGGTTTAGAATCCCCAAAGAATTGACGTCCTCCTCTTCGTCCTCAGATACGTCCTCTAATTCCTTCCCTCTTTAGATTGAATGCCCAACTTTGTTCGCGGAAGTCGCCGCTCTAAATCTTGGATTTTTCTGCTCTGCGCCTCCACAAATTGTCGTTTCAAATTTTGGATTTTCTCCCTATGCACTCCCATGAGTTGTCGCTCCAAATCTTGAATTTTATTGCTTTGCGCTCGCACAAGTAATCACTCAAAAACTTGGATTTTCTTGACCAACAACTACTCAAGTTGTCGCTTCAAATCCTGGATTCGCCTTTCGAGCTCTTCGTTTTCTTTGTCACCCTGGTCTATCTGACACGGTTGTCCGTCTTCTTTAGGAATGAATCCACGTCCCTCACCATCACAACTCTGCCATCGATGACCTCCACTATTCTGTTCAGCCATTATTGGTTGAACGTAAACTAGTGCTCTGATACTAAATGATGTCAAAAGCGCATAGAAAAGTGGCTAAACAGAAAATTGAGATTTCAAGAAAGAGTAACCCTCTGATTCTCAATTTCTATTAACAAAATAACCAAATTCAACTCATGCAATAAAGATCATAAGCACCCTTTTATATTTCAATTACAAATTGATCCAAAATCTAAAATTCTAAAAATAAGGAAAATTCTTAAAATAAATATAATGGTAATTAATTTCTAAAATAATTAATTAATTACAATTAAATAATTCAAAATACGTCACAAATCTTAGATCTCAAATCATGTCAAATATGTTGTTTTTTTTTTTTTTTGCTAAACAAATCACAATTATATATGCTACTTCATTTGAGTTTGGATTTAATTATAATTTGTTATATTTCAAATTACTGCTTCGTTTAACAATTTAGCCATACTTATTGGAGTACAATTTTGGTTGACTCTGAGCTTCTTAAATCAATGATTGAGCCATGTGCAATGCGTCAATTGTAAGTACATCAATTATCCTCATAAATATAGTAAAGTTGAAATTAATGGAAGAAAATAATTAAATTATACGCATATATAAGGTGTTCAACTGATAGTGATAATATTATTATATAGTTCTGATGACAGAAGGGAAACAATGAAATTCTCACAACACAATAATGGTAGGATATACCTATAAAATAGAAGAAGAAGAAAAAAAGCAAGCAAGCGCATGCACACACTAATGATAAATGTCTATCACATTTAGGTAGCTACAACTTAATTGAAGAAAAAGTAGATAGTCGTGGTCATCGTAGTGTTCAGCATAAACGCATTTAGACAGCACTGTCGGCAGCTTCCACGATTTTCTTCTTCTCCTCTGTCTCTTCTTCGCTCTTCTTTCCTTCTTCATCTTCCTCCACTGGAAACACTTCACCAGTTCCCAATGGGTTCACTATGACAATGTTTTTGAGTGGCTCTAGTGATGCCTTCTTTTCCTTTGTAATAACCTTTTTATTGCCATTCCTGTAAATGGAATAGAGCAGCATCTGAAGTAATCCCAGTGCAAAACCCAGCACATTTGGGAGCTACACAACAAAAGGAAAATTTTGTCAATGGCTGATTCATTAAATAATTAGCTTGAAATGTTAGACTAATTAATTCAGTTGTACTTGTACAATAACACTTACAGCAATACAGATGTCCTTGAGAAAGAGACCATAACCAAACCACATAATGGCACTCAATGTAAGTGTAAATGATAAATTGAAGGGCATAAACTCTACGCTCTTTGTCCGAACAACTTGTGCCTGCACAGTGCAAGAAAGTAAGAAAGAGTAGTTAAAGAATATACATAGAGTTTATAATTAAGTGCACTAATTAATTAAATTAAATTAAATTAAATAGGGACTTTTGCGTACCACAATGCTTAGTGGGGCTGCAAAGACGCTGACCGAAACGGAAACACAAATCCATCCAAGGACTTGGACACGAAGTGGGCCATGCACGGCCAAGTGTGTGACTGAGAGGATCAAAGCAAAGGAGCCCATGTTCATTGCCAAAAATAGCTTAATAGTTAAGTTCTGCAGTTAATTAACGGAACATATTTTAGTATGATCGATCAAATTGGAACGAAAGATATATATACCTAGCTATGCTCAATTAATTATTTAATTAGCAAGATCAATGTATATATGTACATATATATATTTCATGAGTTTACTTAATTTGGATATACCCTAGCATCCCTGGGCGCATAGATGATGTACAAGATGATGTAAATGATCTCTACCACACATCCAAATGAGTTGATGGTAATCAAGAGAAAAGCGTCTCTTTTGATTAACGCATAGTACAACCAAAGCATGCAGCTGAACAACGCGACCAGGTAAGGCAGTGACTGAAAACCCTCCGTCGATTTCTTCTTGTAAATCCGGTAAAATGTTGGCCTGCAATATATATTCAATTTTATTACTAATTACCCTTAACTAAAATTGGTTTACTCTCTTTTTCTTCTTCTTTTTTTAAATGCCATTAACTAAGTGGAAGTAACAAATGTGTTTATCGATAGATATTTATTTATACTTACACCGGAGCCAGGAATACCAAGAACGAAATGACATTGCCTGTGCACCAAAAAGGAGAATAAATTAATTTTTATTTCTTAATTAAAAAGAAGGAAATTAGGAATATTATATTCACGGTTAATGCAAGTAAAAAATGAAAAGAGTGGAGAGATGTTTAATTTGGAATATAGTATAGAGGAATGTGGATTTGTAGATCACACGAGTGGGGGGTCAGCCCACTCAGTCCTTTAAAAGAAATATAACAGACGAACCGTGTAAAATAATTATTAGGTACCGGAAGAAATAAAGCCCAAAAGCTGTTCAATTAAATATTGAATTCTAACAATTTGCTAAAACGAACAAAAACATATCATTTTGTGTGTGTTAAGTATCATATCATTGTGTACATTCTAATACAATCGGGAAGGAGAATTAATGTAGGAACATGGATGGAAACAGGTATATTTCCTTCAAGAACTGATCATCACCCAGAACAATATAAATAAAAAGGAAAAAAAGAAAGATATAAGATAATGAAAAGCTGAAAGAGAACGACGGCGATCACCGTTTATGTGTTTTTTGTCCTACCTAGCATCCCAAAGGTAAATGCCAAAGTGCTGTGACTAATAGCCATGCTCTCCTTTTGACTTTAGCTAGGCTAGCACAAGAATTAGGGGAGAGAGGGAAACCTTAACTTTCTTCCGAACTCAACCCCTAAATCTCGTGCTGGTGAGGATGCAGGCCTTGCAAGCCCACACTATATATATATAGACACACTCCAAGAAAGAGCAATTAAAAATAACACAAGGAGGAACTGCAAATATAAAAAGGTTTTATAATTCTAAAGTTACAATGAGAATTAAAATCTTATGTTATAGAGACAAAAAGTATGTGGAATCTATATGTTAGAAAAAATTATGTGTAAGACTCACGTCAATATGAAAATCGAAGAATGTGTAAAAAGATTTCAATTCTCATGTTGAATGAGAATTATAAAACCCAATATAAAATATATCATATCGTACTAATATATTATTGTTGTTCCGAGGGGAAAATATGTGCCTACTGCATGCTTATTAATTATGAGTGAGCAATTGAACTTTTTAGTAGGTAGTGTACATACCACAAAACTATTTTATTTTATTTATTTATTTATTTATTTATTTATTTTTGTTGTTTTGGGTGGTGTCATTCAGTCATAATCATAAGTCAAACACGCGCCTTACGTGAGGGCTGAATCAGCATTATTCCATTTTTTTGGTTCTTCAATAATCAAAATAGGATGCTAAATTGCAAGATTCATTTAATGTTACTTCAATTGTTTAAAGCTAGGGGTAGTGGTAGTGCAATTTAAAGTGGTTACAGAATCGGAAATTTTACCTTAGGTCAAGACCAGTGTAAAGCTAGGGTGGCCTGTGTTGTGTAATTGATACAATTAATCGATCCTACATCCCTATAAGACCTAAGCTGTTTCTCACTTGCATTAATTTATTGTATATAATGTTGAGATATTCAAATGTGATCAGTCTCATATTAATTGATAATGAGTTAAGTGAAAAGTATATAAGTGAAAGGATTCATATGAATCTAATGTTTATTGGTGGTGGTCCCCCACCACGATCTTTTCCTCGTGACATATAATGGTCACGATCACCAAGTTTCAAAACAATTCATTCACTTTATCTGCATTTTCTTTTAGCTTGTCACATAGCCTGAGGTAGCTGTTTTTATTCCAAAATGTAGTTTTTCGTGTCTCGAAGGAGTATGGCTTTCGTCCCTTTCAAGCCTTCCAATATTCTTGCATCCGAGCTATGATAGTTATTGTTCAACGAACGCACTTTTGTTCCCACATTCATCCATTTCTCAATAATTAGTTTTTGTCTTTTTTTTAATGATCGACTATAACTTTTATATTTGCAGGTTATGTTTATCGCATGCTTTGAGCCATGCCTTACATTGTACGAAAAAAGAAAAATGTTTAACGCATGCCCATTTACGGAAAAAGAATAATGTATAACGCATATCCCTTATCATATTCATCCACTTCTTAATGTGAGAGTTCAATTCTCGCAATACTCTTAACCCCTTCTCATCCCCCATCTTCTTCTTTGGAAATCCTAATGGGCCCTCTCCTAGAAAAAAAAATTAATATGTGAACCGAATGTACATTATATATAATTTCATCAAAACTTAAAAAAAAATAACCTGATTTTTCTATGTATTAACTATTATTTCCACATAAAAAAGAAGAAAATTTTTCAAACAAAAATAATCTTTGTATATATATAATCTATCATATATACTTAAATTAAAATTTTAACATGTAAAAGGTCATTTTAGAAATAGGTTCTTTTTGACATGGCCATTCAATATCTTTATACATGTCAACCATGAGATTTGTCTTTAAATAATATCATTGTTTTTATTTAAATAGCTAGAGTCCTCCCAACTCATCTTCATAAAAATCTTCTTAATAGTAAGTAAGTGTTACGCTTTTTATGTTTTCAAGATATTAAATGATTTACTTTTTCATTTAATACTTACGTTATTAAGAACTAAGATATTTTAGGATATTGTATCATTACTCATTTATATATTTTCAATATGATCTTCAGTGACCTAACTACTGAGTGCATGCAATAGCATTTTTTTTTTTTGTGAATTGTAATACCATTTTTTATACCCCAAAGGTTTGTAGAATAGCAATACATGAAAAAAATAAAAATAAAAAGATAAAGCTCCGGTATTTAAATATAATTATACTTATATTAAAATTCGATATTAATGTAAAGCATGATTCACATATAATATATAGCTTGGTGCGTATCTACAAATATAATTAAATGGGAGGCTTTGTCTTTGACTAGGGGAGATAAGTATTAATTCTCATTTCAGAAATAGAACCTGTTTTAGAGAAATGCATGTGACACATTTTTTTTTTCCTTTCAAAAACGACCATGGAGAAGAATAGACAGAGACTTGAGAGGAGCAACCAAAGGGGGGAATGTTAAAGAAATAGGCATAGCCGCATAGGTCCTTTTGTTTTTGTAATGTTAGGGAACAAATTAAAGAGGTCGGGGAATGTTGGTTGGGGGGGGAAAAAAATACACGGCTCAAATATTATTATTTATTCCCCCAAATTCATCAGCGCTCGTTTAATTTCCACCGCGTAATGGGAGAGAGACTTGCTTGTTTTAAAGGTTCTTATCTTTAGCATCATGACCACCATTTTGACGCATAAAAGTTGATTAAGCTAGGTCCACTAATTAATCATGCTTTACTTTCACAACTTCTAGTTAACAATAATTGAGAGAAAGGGAACGTAGGATTAAGGAATAATATTATAAATGACGAACATATTTAATTTTGTGATTTTAAAACGCAGCCTCTCAATATGCGGTCGTCGACAAAGATCAGTCAAACTAGTCTCGTCAACCATGAATCTCGATATTAGAATAAAATCAGAGGTTACAGTCGAACTGGTTCTCTCAACCATAAATTATGATACTCTTTTTGCTGTAAATGAATCATGATTCTTAGAAAAGTATAATCTGGGGTTACTAACACCAGCGTTTTGGGACTGGCTTGAAAAAGTATCCGCAAATTAAAATGTTACAAAAGCCAAAAGAGAATCTCGCATCCGGCACTATAAATAATACTTGGATTTATTTACACATAGTCAATATTTATGTTTACGTACACATAGCGACCACGTGTACCAGTGGCTAGGCACATTCGTATAAGCAGACACATATATAGGAGCTATAATCGTAAGCTGGATTCCACTGTACTATAACTTGTTGGCACTAGTGGTGTTCGTGGTCTGGATTGGATCAGTTTTGGAAGCAAAAATCATCTGATCCAATACCTTCGGTTTGATCATATAATCATCCGTTCGGTTTGAATTTTTTTTCAAATCCGATCCGATCCAATCCAATTTTTTCGGTTTGGATTGGATCGGTTTTCGATTTTTTAAAAATCCTAAAATTTATTTCATAATTATTATGCAAATAACATCTTTTGTATATATTGGCTTTGTAAATTATTATTTTTATAAATACAAAACCATTAGTAAACTATAATATAGTTTTTTTTTTGCAATGAGATATGAAACTCTACAAAGATAAAATTGTTGATGAGATGTGACTAGATTTTTTCTTGGGTTTATTTGATAGTTTGATACCCAATGAGTCTTGGGTTTAAAAAATTTTGGGCTATGATAGGGGAAAGATCCAAGTAGGTAGAGGGGAATTAATATATTGGATCGGTTTGGATTGGATCGGTTTTCATCAGCACATCCAAAAACCGATCCAATCCAATTAAAATTTGCGATTTTTTTTCGGTTTTCGATTTTTCAGTTTTCGGTTTATTCGGTTATCGGTTTTTCGGTTCGGTCACCTCGGTTTGGATCGGTTGATGAACACCCCTAGTTGGCACAGTTACATATTTATGATGATGGTATTACGTACCCCAATTATTTGAATGAAGTTACTAAAAATCTTTGAACTAAAGATTAATTTATTGATTCTAATTAAGCGGTCGGTTTCCACACGTACCACGCACCGCCACTACTCTTATGAATATTTATCTATGTCTACACTATTTAAATCAATAGTTAGACCATCTGGAAGAATCTTTATAAGTCTTCTTTGAGGTTAATTCTTGGTATTGAAATAGAGTGACTTTTTTTTCCAAATGTTGAGATATATAGTCCTACATTGGGCGTGTTGAGATATATAGTCCCACATTGGTTGTATGTGCAACTAATATGGAGTTTATAAGACCTTGGTCACTCCCACCTCTTGAGCTAGCTTTTGGGGTGGTATATCCTAAGGTTCTTAACACCAAAAAATAAATAAATAACAACATAAGTAAAGCATACAAGTGTGTGTTTGTGCATGAGAAAACACACACATATATATTATTATCATTACCATTCAAAAAATGCATGAAAGCTTAATATTCCCTTCGTGCTTGAATAAATTTTAATTAGTTAATTAGTAGAATGTTACAAGGTTAGGGAAGAAAAGAGGATATGGGGAGAGGCAAAGAAATAAAGGAGAGAAGATAGATCATTATTCTACCTTACCTTTATTCCTCATCAGCCTCAAATTTATAGACAGATTATAATCTGGGTTTTCTTAATAATTTTAATCCTAATTTAATACTAATTACAATTTAAAAACAAGATAATTGAAATATCCAAAAAAAAAAAAAACAAGATAATTGAAAGAACTGGCATGGATAACAATCCGTAGAGGTAAAACTAAAGATAAACAAAGTTGAAGATAATAACTAAGGGAAAAATATTTCTGCAGTTAATGCAGATAAGTTATCTGCATTTATTCTCAAAACGAAGTTGTTTTGGGATTGAAATCTTAAAAAGTTATAAATATAAAGATTATTATAACCCTGAAATAAATTAAAATTACAAAATACCATGATTTTCGTCCCAAAACAACGTCGTATTGGCTTACTGCAGATAATTTATCTGCAGTAACTGCAGAAAAAGCGAACCCAATAACTAATGATAAACTAAACAGAAGGTAATTTGGGCATAACTACTGGGCCTTATTAAATGGTATAATCCTTTAAATATGCAGGCTTTAGTAGTTGTCTTTTGGGCCTTATTCC